AAGTTATTAGAGATACTTTACTTTTGAAAAATCTCTAAAATGGCCACTCGCGACTCCGTCCGCACGGAATTAATAAACCTTGATAAGTAGGCGATGTGATCTTCCAGACTATGTTCTACATCTGTGCCAAGTTTCATCAAGATCCGTTGAGTCATTCCAGGGATATGTACGTTAACACGATCCCGTGGCGTCCATTATCATTATCGCTATGAGGGAACAGAGGGGTTTAGTGGGTATGCTCCCATTCGGAGAGAGAATCCCACATAACTACCGTGCCTTCCCCGAGGCACGGAGTATGCCTAAAGCATTAGCCTCTGAAACAAAAAAATGGGATACCTTCTAACAAACATCCTTCCATCTAATCTTAAAAAAATGTTATGATTCTCTATTTACCGCAGACTATATCAAGATTTAATATAGTCGTTTTTAAATCACATGGCTAACAATCTTCCGACAACGTAAAGATTGTAGGTAAAAGTTCCCGAAGTGTTACTATCAAATGTAACCGCGTCAGCTAAATAAACTGTTTTAATACTTTCTAAAGTATACTCTTAGGTGTAAGAAATCGAACTTCAAACACTGAACCACTATAAAACGGTCAACTTTACTGCGATCGTAAATCAAGAATCGACGGCGTTCAGTCGGACGACGCAACAATGAAAATCTTACTTAAGAAAGGTTTTAGTGAATGTCCCCATTTAATATGTCTTATAAAAACTTTGAATACTTCATTCATTGCAACATTTTGTAATGCAAACTGCTATGTACAAAGAAATACAAAAAACATATATGAAGTCAACCAACCCACACTTGGCCAGTGTGGTTAGAAAAAAAATAAAAAAAAACTTAACTATTAGCCAACGTATTCTCTAGAATGTGTTCTACATCTATGCCAAAATTCAGCGAGATCCCTTTAGCCGTTCTGGAGATACCTTCTAACAAACATAATCCATCTATCTAAACGTTCGCATTTATAATGATAGTAAGATTAATTTAGTTTGAAATAAACTATACATCTGCTTGACCATTCAAATTCTCTTTTCTTTCTATTAGTAACGAAACAGCTTTGTTAACGGAGATTAAAAACAATTCAAATAAAAGAAATTCCCATAGGAATCAATGATAATAGCATTGCTTTCACACGCCACTGACCACCGTCCGAATACTGAATGAACGAACTTACCTTTGTCTCGCTTCGATGTGAATCCAAAAGAAAAAATTGTGATGACTTAACAAAACACGATCACTGAACGAATGATTAATAGATTGATCATTCGCATCCTATTCTGAACAGACAAAGCATAGATCTTTTATTCAAATTAACGACTCGAAACTTCTCAATCTCATAGTCATTCATTCGTACATTATTGGGTTGACCTAAATACTTGAGATTAATTTGATCACAATAAGGATTATTCCAGATGACGGTGAAACATATCAAAAGTACATCGGACAAACACGTTATAGAATGAGTTTTTTATAATCAGATTTTAAGCTTTAATACTTTTAAGTTAGAACACAGAATTTATTTCATAATATTACAACATTTTTTAAGATTACAGATTTCATTGGTTTATAATTGTTTTCAAGTCCTATTTGAGAATAAATTTTTTTCGTTGAAAAAACGTTTTCTTTACCACAATACCCTAAGTCTCAAAGCATCAAAATCATAGGCTCAAAAATTGTTTTTGAACAAAATTAAAAAAATAATCAAATTTATATAGTGAAAAAAAGTCTAATCAGATCGTTAAAGATTTAGTGATGAACATAAAAAGAAACTATAATAAAAGTGGCTAGTTAATAATTAATAGGAAGCTACCCTAAGGCTAAGACAGAGGCTTGAAATTGTTCGCTGGTAGACACACGTCTTGACTCTCGTACTTGCTTATAGAATCACTGTAATCATTTGTGCGGTCGACAAACTGGTTTACGGAACAGTTATAGTAGTCGGGGATAGGATTAAGTCTTTAGCAACAATTAAACGGAAGACGAAGGCATCCCTACTTGATGGCCATTATAGACTTGATATAGGGATCAATCTTGCCGGCGTACTTTTGCGGTGTATCATTTCTATCTAGTTTTATTATGGTCTATTGATTGCTGTATTCGATTTTATATTTTCTTATATTTCTTACATTGCTATTAGTGCTGTATCTATAGCTACAACTTAAAAACATATCATCATCATC